CTAACTAAAATAGAGATTTGCTGTAGAAATTCGTAAGTGGCAAGGAAGTGTTGTCTTTCAATTGATGTGCTATCTTGTCAATGATGGGGAATCCACGTAATTTATAATATAATTTATATAAAGCATTCTTGCTAAATAAAAATATTCATTTATTTAAGTGTTTCGCAAAATACGGTGTGAATTCCGTTTTGGGAGGTCTGCGATTTATCTTACCTTTCTGGAGACCAATATCTGCTTGAGCAATTTGTGGTAATATTGTTGAAGGGAGTAGATTTGCCTTTTTTTCTGTGATTTGGCACAGAGTTGTCTGTATTTGACCACCTCTGGGTTAAAGTGACCATCTATAAAAAGAAAATCTAAGTGAGATTTTATTGATGACAATATAAGGACAGAAAATAAAGAGGAAATGGACAAACCTCTGAAGAGCTTCTGGGCAATGTGCAGGGGGTTTCCAAAGAGAAAGTTTTTGTTGTTGAAAAGGTCTCCGATGATGCTGTTCTGTTCTGCCATGTTCTCTTCGGGAAACTGAGGTAGAAGCTGACGAAGATGTGTCCGCTGAGCTTCTGTAAGAACATCTGTCCATGTGCTTTCACTCAACACTGAGAAGAAGATCTCTGGCTGCTCTCACATAGAAACACAAGCACACACGGTTTAGTTTTCATGTTCAGAAAAAGGTGAATTATTTGTAGAAAGAAACTCACATCTTCCAGCAGGTCTTCAGGAACCCGAACTCTGCAGTTTCCAAGCATGCACTCTTCCATCACACGTCCATCCTGGTCCATTGCAGACTCCAGTGGGTCTGTTAACATGTGATCCAGTGCATCCATCTTCACCTACACCGTTCACAGCAGCAAAAGCGGAATCTGTAAGTTTACAAAATGAAACATTATGAACAAGGAAAACATATTCATGTTTATTATGCTCATAATCTGCCAGATTATACATAAAATAAAAAATTAAAATTTTAAAAGACATTAAAGAAAGACAGATATAAAATGTTGAACCTCACTTCAGTGTTCTTCTGCGCTAGAAATATATGTAACAAAAAAGTATGACATATGTAACTAAATGATGCTTGGAAAAATGAAATTTTAGAGAACTTAATATACATAAAATGTATACAGTTGCTCAATCATCTGGAAAAAATATGATGCTATCTTCATTGTTACACTATTCACCTGCAGCGCCTTGTTTAACGTTAAACTGTTTTTGTTTACAAATTACTTATTGATACATTTTATCTTTATAACATTTTGCACGACTGTTCAATGTACCACTTGCTGTAATGTTATAAATAACAACAAAACCACAATACACAGCATAACTTTCAAGGTACTTTAGCATGTTAGCTTGCGTATTCCGTTTGCTTTTGGTATTACATTACAAAAAAGACAAAACAAAAATAGAAAAGCAACAAACCCGCGTGAAATTTTGTGTGAATGTATAATAACAACTTGTACACAAGGCAAAAACACACCCGTAACTATTTACAACACTTTACTAACGTGCTACAATTCTGCTACAAGCTAACAACTCTTTACGCCATTTACGTCTCTAAAAACTTTAATAACAAAACATATTACTTGTTTATTTATTTTATGTTAAGTAAATGTTTAAAGCATCTTACCATGAGTGTTTGTGTAAATTAGAACTGTATTTATTAGCTAGCGCTTCACAAGGTCGGTAGGAATAATAACATTGGTGCACATTTCCGGGCTGTCATGTAAATTTCCGTTTCTCAAAAAAGTTTCCGCAACAAAATAAAAGACGAATAAACTTTTATTTAATTTGTTTGATTAATTTATAAATTAAACATTTTTGTTGAAGATATTTTTTTATTATTAACTTAAGTAACAGGGAATACACAAAAAACTAATTTGTGCAAATATTGTGTGACCTGAATAACGTTACAAAATATACATATTCATTGTACATCTAGTAACACGATACAAGAGATAAGGGGAAAAACAATATATGAAAGAAATGTATATAAAGAAATAAAACCTAAATATCTCAAACTATACTTAGATTATTAGAAATGTTACATAGGCGCACCAAAAGGCATTTGATAACTTAAGGATGATTGATAATATTACTATTTTCAGCAGTTCAGTGTTTCAGCAACTTTCTTACTTTGGGATAGGCAGACAGGTTCATAATAAAGTTTCAAGTCAATACAAAATGTTCTAAAATTAGGCAACCACTGAACAACTTTACATTTAATTGTGAAGATGGAAAAGGCCACAAAGAGTTAAAAATTGTTAACATATTGTCCATTTCCTTACAACCTAACTCCCACATCAAAAAATAAATTATTCTCTTAAAATCAAAACGTTTTTTTTTCAAGCTGAGAAGACAAGCCAAGATATTCTGTCCAAAATATTTCTGCAAAATTCTAAAAATAAATGCGCGATTGAATGTGCATTGCGAATAATTGTTTATATTAGATAGAATTACAGGGATAGTAATTATGAAGGATTTTAAAATAGAGTTTCTTCATCTTATTAGCCTCTAAAAACGTATTAATAACAGGCCAAATTTTAATGGTGGACAGAACCGGGTAATTTCCATTTATTAAAAGCTTTTGGGTACAAGCTAGACTTGTACCAGTTATTGAATGCTACAGCAAAACTGAATACACATAACAGTTGCAACTTATTACAGTATTGGGTTATCTTAGTTGTTGCTGTATTACCACACCACAAGTACTAGTATGGTTCAAAATTAGTTTACAACATTGTTTACATGTGTGAACTCTTACATCCCTTTTCTCCTTGTGTTGCACTCAAGCAGATACAATGTTTACTCTTCCCATCTAAATGTAATTAAATGCTTAATTTAAGAGTCCATTACATAAATGGATATACAGTATAACATTTATTGGTTTACAGGAGGCTACATGCAAGGCTGAACTAGGCTACCTGCAGTTTCTGTTAAGAACTAGAACAAGTGCAAAACTGGGATGTCTGCCAGAATTTAAGCAGGTAGAGCAAGAATCAAATGCCTTTGCTTGCTTCTCACGAAAAACACTCTGTATCTCCACAAAAACTCCTCAATCATGTTCAGACATTTATACTGTACCATTTTATATTCTCTTCTTGTCTTTATTTTTGTGTTAATCTGTGACATTTGCAAAACACACACACACACACAGAGATTCTATTCTATCAATTTATTCGAAAATTCATAATCAGAATTTCTTTTGGTGTTTAACAAGAACCCTCGGAAGTATCAAGGCACATAATGGGAATGCCAAAAATAAAACTGACAAAAATAAAAAATATCAAAACATCACAGACACAAATGACAGTTAAACAATAGACTGTGTGAACAAAATGACAAAAATAAAATCTAAACAAAAGAATTTGAACAAAACAAGAAGACATTTTCATTTTTCTAAATTTCAATGGTTTCTACCATATTCACACACATATATATTTTCACCAAAAACACTTACAGTATAAGCAAAGCTTAAAATGACAACCAGGCAGGTCATCAGCAGTTTATATAAAAGTATCATCTAAAACTATTTTTACTATTTAAACATTTAGACTGGTAAACTATATTTGTGGCAGCACGGTGGCTCAGTGGTTAGCACTGTCACCTCACAGCAAGAAGGTCACTGGTTCAAGTACCGGCTGGGCCAGTTGGCACTTGTATTTTCTCTCTTTTCTCTCTGTGTTCCTCTGGGTGCAAAGACAAGCAGTATAAGTAAATTGGGTAAAATTGGCTGTAGTGTATGAGTGCATGTGTGAATGTGAGAGTGTATAGCTGTTTCTAAGTACTCGGTTGTGGCTGGAAGGGCATTTGCTGCGTAAAACATATGCTGAAATAGTTGGTGGTTTATATCACTGTGGGGACCCTTGATGCATAAGTAATTAAGCCGAAGGAAAATGAATGAATGAACTATATTTGTTCATAGGTGCTACAGACTAATACAGACAAAAATAGACCCACAACGTCCATTAACAGATAGACTGCAAAATCCCTGAGAAGTACTGAAGTTGTAATGACTTTTGTGAAGCAATGCAGCAAAAATACTTTTCCTCTGCAGAAAGAGCTCATAATCAACAGTCCACAAATACAAAAGTACATAACACACACAGAAACAGATAAAGATTGGAGAAGAAACAGCTCATTATAACTTAACTGAAACTTTATAATGCCAACGGTGGTGCATAGGATGTACACGTAACACATGCACTGTGTGTCACCTGTAAATTACCTGACAGAAATAGTCTCTTGTAAGTGCACTTATGACAGTTAGCGGAAGTCTCAAAAACTGTTAATACATTTTTATAAATTAATATATCAACTTACTACAAAATGCGAGGCACCATTTTGGCTCAGTGGTTAACACTGTTGCCTCACAGCACAAAGGTCACTGATTCAAGTCCCAGCTGGGTTAGATGGCAGTTATGTGTGAGTTTGCATGTTCTCCACGTGTTCACATGGGTTTCCTCCGGGTGCTCCGGTTTCCCCCACAGTTTAAAGACATGTGGTATAGATAAATAAAATAAATTAATATTGGGTTGCAGCTGGAAGGGCATCTGCGGTGTAAAACATTTGCTGGATAAGTTGGCAGTTCATTCCACTGTGGTGATCCCTGATTAATAAAGGGACTAAGATGAAGGACAATTAATGAAGGAATGAAGGAAGCGGAAAGCCATATATACTTACACCCTCAGAAAAAATGGTACAATGTTGTACCAAAGAAGGTACAAACCCTTGTCACTGGGGCAGTACCTTTTCATGGGACAGAATTGAACCTTAAGACAGAGAAACAAACGTGTACCATTGCAGTTTGTAGCGTTAAAGACATGATTTGTACCAATGGGAAACCAAAATATACATTTGGTTTTTAAAACCTGCAGATACAATATTGTACCTTCATCAAAGGTTAAAATCTGATCCATGAAGGTACCACTACAGTGATAAGATACTTTGTACCTTAACAGTGTCAAATGTCTTCCTTCAAGAACTATTTAAAGCCATTTTGCTTTATCTAAAACGCGTCAATTTATTTTCAGTAAATAAAAAACATCAAATACAATTTTAAACAATGTTTTTAAAAAAGCTTATTTTTGTGTAAATGCACCTTTTCCATTTACAATAAATCATCCCCTTAAGACAGAAAGCTGTTCTATAGGCCTTTTCTTGTCACCATTGTGGCTTTATATCCCTGTGATCTCTCTGATCCAGCTGCGGTAATCTGTGACCCGTGTGTAGACACCGGGTCTGTTCCTGCGACCGCAACCATCTCCCCAACTCACCACTCCCGCAAGAAACATGCGCCCATTGCCCTCAATGGACGACATTGGACCGCCGGAGTCACCCTGGCAGGGGGATGAAGAATATGTCTGTATTACTGACAAAACATAAGGACAGTGTACGGTATCTGAATGTAAAAATAGCAGAAGATGTTTTGGTTACCTGGCAGGCATCAACACCTCCGCTCAATACACCTGCACAGATCATGTGAGGAGTAATCCCATCATCCATCAGCTTGCTGCACACAGTGCTGTTAATAATGCGCACCTCAGCCTTCTGCAACACTGACGGCACTGCATCTAGAGCGGGGAAAACACTTTTTTTTAGCTTACTAACAATATCAAGCTCTTGTTGCATCAGCATTTGTGATTAAAGATAAGCAGTGCAAACCTGAGTTTGTAAATATTTCTCTCATTATTTGGACATGTCTCAGTATAATACAGATTAAGACAGGTTAAGAGTTTGGGCACACATAAAGAGCCCCTATTATGCATTAAAAAGGGTCATAATTTGGTTTTAGGGGTTTCCAACAACAGTCTTATATATAAAAAAGATTAAAAAACCCCAGCTAAATTTCACCATCTATAATCCATAGTAATAACTCCTGTATAGTAGTTCCACAACACACGTTCATATCTGTGACTTGATGACACTCGAATACCCAGTCAGAAAAGTCTAGTGGCTGAGAATGACCGTTTTACAGTGTCTATAATGGTAATGTTGTTTTTGTGTGTTTACATAGATAAGGCCATGGTGTAAATACACAGTAATGAGCTTATTGTCACATTATATAGTTATAATAACAAGATATCGTTGCCTTCAGTGATTTCTTGAAGATAAATACCAAAAAATTCGGCAACTGGAATAACTAAAGCATCAATGAGTACGTGGACACCATGGACACAAATAATTAGATATTAATGCGATTAAGACAATACTCTGATTAAGAGTCTATCATGTAAACAGCGATTTTTGAATAATTTGATCAGATTAAGGTCATAATCCAACTAAAGGGAAATCAAATTAAGACATGTAGAGTATGCCGATTTTAGACACATTATTGAAGTGTAGACATGTAAACACCTTACTCGTACAATTACCATCATGTAGGACTTTTCGCCGCATTTTGCGACAGGATAGTCCACACACACACACACACACACACACACACACACACACACACACACACACACACACACACACACACACACTCACACTCACACTCACACTCACACTCACACACACACACACACACACACACACACACACACACACACACACACACACACACACACGGCTGTTTGACACTCTTTGCACCTACCGAGTCAGTGCACACCACAGACACCTTTTCATTCTACCCTAGCAACTTTTTTTTCAAAAAGCACCTAGCAACAAGTTTAGCAATTTTTAACATTCATTTGGCTACTTTAAGCAATTTCTAAAAAGTGACTTTACAGAGCAGTGGCTGAAGGCTTCACTCAGTAGAGTAAATAGCGAGCTCAGATTGTTTTTCATAACTGTTAATTTAATGATATTTGTTAACATCTATAATTGTTGGTAATTTATGTAGCAATAAATTCCAATAGTGCAATAATTGTTGTCATTTTCACAAATGTGTTAATTTCATAAGTTAAAAAAAGAGAAAGTACACAAGCTGTGATTTTATAAAAGAATGTAACGTTTATCAGTGTTAAAAAAAAAAAAAAAATTATGATCAAAAAGAGTTTGTATTACTTTTACAAATAGTCGACAATATTTTTCATACAAATCTAAATGGACATATTTCAAATAATGTTTTTGCTGTGATGGCCAGTCAATTTGAGAAAACATGAATTATTTTGTATACTACATGAAGATGTAGTTTTGAGTTGCGATTACATAATGACATAATCACGCAAAGTAATATGTTAATAAGAACCTATTTATTGTGCATCTGGATGTAATGTTTCAATATAATATAATACGTGGTGCCTCAGAGAGCAGACACATGACAGGCTTACGCTTGTCAGATACAACGTTATGACGTCACTGATATGCAAATTAAAATCTGACAACATTTAGCTACTTTTCGGGCAGGTTTTAGCTACTTTTCATTGGAAATAATTGGCAACACTGATTGTGAAAAGCGGAAGTTTTTTTTCTTCCATTCAGCATGCGGTAAAAACTTCCAGTAAAACAGCACTCTTCCAGCAGTTCATAGCTGCATCCAATATCTCGTTTGTAACGGGGGCATGCATGAAATATTTGTGAATGAAAGTGGAAGTGCCAAACTGCAGTTAAAGTCGACACTTTAAAAATTAAACACCCGAAATCACATGAAACTCTGGAGAAAATGCGGATAGCGAGGTGACGCAATTATGTTAATCGAATTACATGCTATAACATGTAAAACGCAATCATGAAAGTAACATTCAAAAAGCAACTTATGTTAACACTTTAGTCTTATTATTCTCTTAATTAGATTAAAGCAAATAATTAGATTACTGATGTCCATGTAAAAGGTGGCGCAGTGGCGCAGTAGGTAGTGCTGTCGCCTCACAGCAAGAAGGTCGCTGGGTCGATCCTCGGCTTAGTTGGCGTTTCTGTCTGGAGCTTACATGTTCTCCCTGCGTTCACATGAGTTTCCTCCGGGTGCTCTGGTTTCCCCCACAGTCCAAAGATATGTGGTACAGGTGAATTGGGTAGGCTAAATTGTCCGTAGTGTATGAGTGTGTGTGAATGTGTGTGTGGATGATTCTCGGAGATGGGTTGCGGCTGGAAGGGCATTCGCTACGTAAAAATATGCTGGATTAGTTGGCGGTTCATTCCGCTGTGGCGACCCCGGATTAACAAAGGGACTAAGCCGACAAGAAAATGAATGAATGATTGAATGAATGTCCATGTAAACATAGTCACTGTATTTATGGCATATTAAAAACTTCTAGAATGGTGTGTTGATGCAGGTAAGAGCTTAACCTGCCATAGTGTAGGGAGCCCTGTATTACATACTGTTGTATTGCATTTTCCAGCGTCAGCAATGCCAGCTCTTTTATTTTGTAAGCCTGTTCATAGACCATGCTTGATTTATGCTTGATTTGTTTATATTGGCTCATCTCCGTTTGGCTGCCACAGCCTCCTGGCTGTATTGGTTTATGCTAGGCCAACTTACCAGAATGTGACAGTGCTTGTGGGCTCAAGTGTTCATGTGGGTATTTAGTGTATAACTTGATTTTGACATCTTGCAGTTTTAGTTTCTACTGAAATTTTTCCTTCACTTATTAGCCTTGTGGTTGTTGCAACATGGCATTTTAATGTGTTTGTTTCAAAATGGCAATTTTATATGACACCCATAGCATAAGCTACTGACAATGCAGAATAAACTGAATTAGAAAAGGAACGTCTCAGCTTATCGATATTGTCAGTAGCTAATGAGTACCATATCAGTAAATAAAAATACATAAAAAATCTCATTAAAAATGAATAATAAAAACTCTGAATGGCTACTTATGCTGTATCAAATAAGTCAAACTTCTTCCAAATACATAAAAGAACCTTATCAACTTCAAACTGAAATGGTAATGAAGGTTTATGTTACACAACTTACCGCTTCCCTCTCTTAACTTGCCCCAGCCAGTGATCCATACAGATTTTCCGGCTGGGAAGTAATGTGTGGGATCAGGTAAGCAGATGGGCCAGATGTTCTGATTCAGAGTCACAGGACTGTCCAGCTCCATTAGAGCGATGTCATTGTCGTAGCTCGAGTGATCATACTGAGGGTGAGGAATGATGCGCAACACACTTCTTTGTGTAGATTTACTAGTCTCGCCCTGGTTGTGTAGGCCTAGATAGACCTCCCACTGGTCAGCCTGTGAATATCTAGCAAAAAAAAAACAAAAAGCCATTCAGAATCAGCTCAGGAGGGAAGGAGAAAGCCAAAGCAGATTAGAACTCACCTGAATTGATCATTATCTTGCACGCAGTGAGCAGCAGTGACCAGCCAGCTGTTACTGATAACAGACGCACCACACACATGACCTTGCGTCTTCATGTGGAGGCTGACCTGCCAGGGCCATTCTCCCTCATCTGAGTCTTTTCCACCGACAATACGACTGGACTTGTGAGGCTTCTTCCCACATTCTACAAAATAACATAAACATCATGAACCACATCAGAAATACAGAAGTCTTAACTTTGTAATGTTGACCAAAAATACATGTTTCTTGAAATTCATGAGATCTCATGTATACTGAATACTGAGACGAAGATGCTGAAAACTGCAAGAATAAATGAACATGTTAAAATAGGAAATTCCCCAAAAATGTTTTTCATATATTAATGAATGAGAAGGTGAAGGAAGATGGAGGAAGAAAAGTGATTACTGACAGTGACACCATAAAATTACATACTATAAAACAATGCAAGTTTTTACATTGCTTTATCTTGCTTTGGAAAATTTTAACTTTTAACTTGTTTAAAACTTGGTTTAACTTGAAAATTGAAGTGAGCAACATTTTTACAGTGTAGGATATATGTGGTATTTGTTGGGAATGTGTCATTTTCTTTATTACTACGGTTATTACATCATCGACATAATCATTATAATTATTTTATTTATTATAATTGATAAGTAATTCATTTATTTATTTTTCTTTGGCTAAGTCACTTTATTCATTAGGGGTCGCCACACTACAGGTAATTTAGTTTATTCACTTCACCTAAAGGGCATGTGCTTGGACTGTGGGGGAAATCGGAGCATCCTAAGGAAACCCACGCGAACACAGGGAGAACAAACAAACTTCACACAGAAAGGCCAACTGACCCAGCCGGGACTTGAACCAGCAACCTTCTTGCTGTGAGGCGACAGTGCTAACCACTGAGCCATCGTTCCACAACTTAACTATTATTATTGATATTATTACTATTATTATTTGTAGTATTATCATTATGACTATGAATGTTACAAACTATAAATGCTATTCTGAATGCCATTGCTGTTTTATAAAAATTCCTGTTGTGTTTCTGTTTTACGGCTATTTACCTGTTCTGTGTTCACCATGTTCTATGTTTTGCACTCTTCATTTTGAAAAATGAAAACAGTTATGGGTGGCGCGGTGGCGCTTTGGGTGGCGCTCTCACCTCACAGCAAGTATGTCGCTGGTTCGAGTCTCGAATGGGTGAGTTAGCATTTCTGTGTGGAGTTTGCATGTTCTCCAAGTGTTCACGTGGGTTTCCTCGGGATGCAACATGCAAACTCCACACAAAAATGCCAACTGACCCAGCTGAGGTTCGAACCAGCGATCTTCTTGCTGTGAGGCGATAGTGCTACTCACCGCACCACAGCACTTACTCCCAGTGTTTGCGTAGGTTTCCTCTGGGTGCTCCAGTTTCCCCCGCAGTTCAAAGACATAAGCTATGGTGAATTGGGTGAGCTAAGTTGACAGTAGTGTATGTGTGTGAATGAGAGTGTGTATGTGTGTGAATGAGAGTGTATAAGTGTTTCCCAGTAATGGGTTCCAACTGGAAGGGCATCCACTGCGTAAAACATATGCTGGATAAGTTGGCGATACTGCTGTGGCGTCCCTTGATTAATAAAGGGACTAAGCCAAAAAAAAAAAAAAAAAAAAAGAATGAAAATATTTCAATAAATGACTGTATTTATAGTCTTTTTCTAAAATCAATGCAGCCCTGATGTGCATAAAATACTTTTTACATGTTTCTTATGTCTATAATTGATCACATATTAATGATCAGGCATAGCCAGGGGGATTAAGTGTTTAGAAAGACGAACCACCTTCTGACGAAGTCCAGAATTTGGCCCCTATATGAGCTCATTAGTCCCATTTTTGACAGTATACCATGATAAATTGTGAAAATAACAAATAGAAGAAGGCTTTAAGAAGAATAAATAATAAAAGAAGGATTTTCTTATTTAAATGAACAATTTCTGACTGAGGAAATGAGCTGGCCAGTTTGTTGTTTCCTTATAGACTACAGTTTTTAATTTAAAATAAGCTTTGATAAATTCCCATATTTGTTGTTGTTTGTTTGTTTTTTTTGTTGTTGTTTTTTTAATAGATGATAATAAAGTATTTTTTTAATTTTTCAAAAATTCTAATCTCATTACATTACATGTACAATTGTAATAATTTACAGTTAAATTTACATTTGTAAATAAACATACATTTTTGAAAACAAAAAAAAAAAGTATGGTGAGCACTTTGACAAAAATGTAGAAAGTATTTTGTTGCATCAAAAAGTGTGCTAATGACAACCATCCGACAAGCTTATCCAGCACAAATTAGTGCTTAAAATGTCACTAAAATGCAGAATTTGAACCTTGAATAACTGCGAATAGGTCCACGTTTTGAGAAAAAAAGAACAGGCTGGCTATGGGCCTGATTATGAAACAACATATGCCACATAAATCCCCAAAGATTCTGGACTTACTACACTCGGCTTCATCTGAACCGTCCACACAGTCAGTCTCTCCATCACACATGGGGTTCAGCTTGCTAATGCACTGCTTATTCTTGCACTTATAGGTGGAATCGGAGCAGTGAACAGCTATGGCTGGATATAAAAGAAAAGCAAGTCAGTAACTGCTTATGTTGGCATCGAGGATATTTTTAACCTATAAGAGTCAATTCAGTGCTGGTAAACTAAAAAGCTAAACGCACAGTGAAATAGGACTAAAGAAAAGATGAATTGATTTTATTTACCTATTAACCACTAGATGACACAAAAACCTGCAGCACTATTCTGAAGAGCCAGGTTTTATGTAGGAAGAAATGCAAACTGGTGGAATATTTTACAGATTTATTGCTCTTTCTAATGATTTGCAGTTCTGTTCAAGGTCATCAAATCAACATTGTTGTTAAGGAAAAATACACAGTTTTTGTATAAACTGTCCCTGCTGTGAACACATGGACAATAATTTACATGAAAATAAATAATATTTCCATTTGTCTACATGATTTGACTCAGATGATTTATGATTTATCACATTAGATGTCAACTAAATCAGCATAACTAAAATTTCTGATATGCATGATATATATAATAAAGCATATTTATTTATATTGCTGTAAAACCATTTATAAAATGATTAAGAGATATCCTCAGATGCTTTCAGGTCTATTATAAAACATTTTCAGCATTTTTAAAATGAATGTATCAGTATAGGATTAAGAAGATTTTTTTTTTGTCCAGTAAAATGAAAAAAATTTGTGAAAATGCTGCTGAAAAAAATATAGATAGAAGATTAGATATTATTTCCCTAAAAAGTAAAAAAAAAAAAAGTCTTTCAATTTATGATGTGCTTTCACTCCCATTGAGTCTTATAATTAGGCAAAAATACTATTACTATATTGCCTTATATATAAAAGGATAAACTAAGGTCAAACAGGGACAAAGTGCTGAACAGACCAGGGACCTAATGTATCAACGTAGTACACACAAAAACTTTGCGTACGCCAGATTTCACGCTCATGTTTGGATTTACTAACGATGAAATGAACGTGAGAATGTGCGTTGGTCTACGCCACATCATGCCTGGCGTATGTGCATTTATTGTTTGTTTGTTTGTTTGTTTGTTTTATTTCCATTGGCGATTCCTAGAGGCAAGTATGTTAAATTGCACACTACAAAATGTCTTTGAGCTGTGCAATGGTAGCTTTGAGGGATGGGATCATCTGCATGTCTAGCAGGTATATAAGGTTTCCATACCATGCAGTCGACAAGCCAAACATTAAAGCGCAATTTGCATCGATCGCCGGTTTTCCCAATCTAATCGGAGCGATCTACTGCACGCACATTGCTATAAAGGTTCATTTGCTACCTCAGGATCAAGAGTTGGCAAAATCTGATATGTAGTGGAGAAAAAAGAATGAGTTCATCGGACGCTGGATTCAAACCGAGTTCATAATCGAACGTGTCAAACAACATGTTGCGATGCGCTTTACGAGCTACAGTACACCACTCACGCTGCTGTTGGCCGCACTCTTTAGTTATGTTGATGGGTGGGTCACTCAACTCATTCCAACAAGGTGTGCCATTTGCCTAAATAGACACTATAAAATTTGACACCTTTACATCGAACCATTTCTTTTTTAATTCACACACAGTGCGATGTTCAGACCCCACTGCATTAACCGCGTCAACTAAACTCTACCATTCTATTTTTTTTCCTTTTGTTATTTATACTAGAGGACAAAGATGCAAATAACACAGTTTTTTTCTGGTCTACCTCTGAAACGAGCACCTCCAATTCCCATTCTGTTCAAAGCTTCTCTTTTTACTTGCTTTTGCCATTGCTTTTTCCTTTGGTTCTGTTAAAGTAGAGTCATTACCATATTTATTAGGGGGAGGAGGCAGGGAGGGGTTTTGCATTCGTGCACGTGCGCTCAGTTTCACATTAATTCAGATGTACAAAGAGAATATGCATGTGATTCCGCTTAAACAGTGTTTTATACATCTGAATTTTTTACTGCGTACGCACATTTACAGCTTTGCACAAACGCAATGTTTTAGTATAGATTCAACGCAAGTCTTTGTACATGAGGCCCCAGGTAATGCAGCTAACAGCAAAATACCTTTGATTCAATAATTTTTTTCCTTACATTTCGCACACCGAGATTCATCAGAACCATCGCCACAGTCGTTGTAGCCATTGCACTGCTTCTGTGCTGAGATGCAGCGGCCACTTCGACACCTGAACTCCCAAGTTTTGCAATTCCCTGCAGAAAAGATCGAATGAACAACCTGAAGCTGTCTCCATTACACTTGCGCTGTATTTCCTGATTTGAGAGCTCCTTTTATCCCTACCACAGTTTTCCTCATCAGTGTTATCTCCACAGTCATTCACCCCATCACAGCCCCAGAAGCTGGGCTTACAGAAGCCATTCTTGCATTGGATTTGAGTCTCATTACACACTGGATGCATGGGTAAAGAAAAAAAAAAGCAACATCATTAATATGCTCAGTACCTTAACTAAAACGTCCATGTGTTCAAGAAATGATGATATAAACTTACTGCAGCCTCTCTCATCACTCATATCACCACAGTCATTGTACCCATCACAATGCTGGTCAGATGAAATACACAGATCATTGTCACACTCAAATCTTCCAGGACAGGCTGTGGAAAGGTGACAGAGTAATTTTTTAGCATGTGGACTGGCTTAGAACATAAACAACCCCTTTAAAAAAAACATGATTCTACTCACGATTGGTGGGTTCAAAGGCCTCAAACTCTGCAGAAAATCCTTCACTCACATAGGAACGGTCAGAATTGAATTTTACTGTTAATTGGTTTGATTTGACTGTGTACACAGTTTTAGGTGGCTTCTCTCCACATATCCTAAAACAATGGAAAATGTTTTAATCTGTACACTGTAGAAAAATATCTGAATGAACAGTTTCTATTTTGCATTGTGTGTTAATCTCTACTCTGTTGATTTTTGATGCTGAATATTCAGCTCTGCAATTTAACAAAGTAACTTTTATTGACATTTTAGTAATTTTAAATAATTTAATGAATAATAAATAAAATATAGAGAAATAAGCCTATAAAATAACAGAAAATGAACTGGCAGCTTATTAAAAGGTTTTTGTACTGTAATATACTGTTATTAGGTTCAAAGTTGTTGAGGAAAAAATATCAAGGTCCCATTATGCAATTCAAAAGCATAAATAAAGAAAAATAAAAACATTTAAAAACAAAAATTGGAGAAAAATATAAAATGAATCACCAAATAAAAAAAAAAAAACTGCAAAGTACACTGCAACTGCAAGTATATATTTTTTACAGTGTAGCTAGCAAATCTACACTAATATTCAAACGATTGGGGACAGTGAGATAAAAACTCTTACATTGTGTCCTAAAAGTTAAGAGTAAAAACGCATATATATATATATATTATTATTTTTTTTTTTACCAAACCAGCTGCAACAGTGCTACATCACATCTCTTTTAGACACATTTCATAGCAGTTGGAACGAAATCAATCAACAATTATTCTTTTTAGTATTAGTCATTTTAGTATTAGTTTCAGTTTTACCGAAAGAAACACTAGATAAGTAGTAGTGGTGGGCCAATCGGCGTTAACGTGCTGCGTTACTTTTATCGGACAATAAAAAAAATATCGGCGTTAATCTATTCTCAAAGTTGGGTTGGGAGATGGGTCTATTCTACGCTAGCTATGATGACTTTCACCTTGATATTTTAGCGCGAATGTAAACCTGACCTCTGAGCCGTCTGGCAAAAAAGTGCCCTTCTGAATCAAATCAGCAGGATGCCCTTCTGGATCTTTCACTTACTTCGAAGATATACTGACTACGCATACATGGACTTCTGTAATCTAGTTATTTGCCTTAATAGACAATAATGTAATTAAGGTGTTTACGAGAAGTGCTTTTATGTAAGAGTTTCCAGTAATTTTGGCTGACTTTAACTGCAGTTCGGCAGTCTCACTTTGACTCATGAACATTTCATTCATGCCCCCGTGACAAACTGGGGTATATTAGACGCAAATAAGAAGGACTGCTCAGAGTGTTTAGCTTACCCGATTCACCTATACCACATGTCTTTGGACTTGTGGGGGAAACTGGAACACCCAGAGGAAAAATTGGGTAGGCTAAATTGTTTGTAGTGTATGTGTGTGATTGAGAGTGTATAGGTGTTTCCAGTGATGGATTGCAGCTGAAAGGGGATTCGCTGCATAAACATATGCTGGATAAGTTCGCGGTAGAGGTCTGCAATACATTTGCAGCGGTTGGTAACGGGTTTAATTTGGGACGGAAGCGGGCTGTCTAGCAATATGGCTCCCGACTCCCGAGCAAGCACGCGTATGTATGTGTGTAAATGAAATAGCGCGATGCTGTGTTTAGCTTGTTTGTTGCTGTGTGTGTGTGTATGTGTGCGCACGCGCGAATGAGAGGTGTGTGTGTGTGTGTGTGTGTGTGTGTGTGTGTGTGTGTGAATGAGAGAGAGAGCTTTGCCTGTGTGTGTGCTTGGTGCTTGTGTGTGTGTGTGTGTTAGTGCGCGCGCGCAAATGAGAGAGAGAGCTTTGCCTGTGTGTGTGGTTGGTGCTTAAGTGTGTATGTTAGTGCGCGCGCGAATGAGAGAGAGAGAGCTTTTTTCTGTGTATGTGTGCTTGGTGCTTTGTGTGTGTGTGTTTATACAGACAGCTTGTTATAGGCTGTCTGGACTGTATAGCTGGGTGATTTTCGGTTTTGTTCTCCCCCCGCTCTTTAGCGGAATCAGGCGCGGTGGGTAGAAAACAGGGCGGGTCGGGCAGCGGGACAACAAATGCTTAATATAAGCGGGAGCGGTCGGGTTCGGGTTTAAAACCTGGCAGGTGCGGGCGGGAGCATGATTCAAAATTTAGTCCCGCGCAGATCTCTAGTTGGCGGTTCATTCTTCTGTGGCAAACTCTGATTAATAAATGGACTAAGCCGAAAAGAAAATGAATGAATAATTGTTTTCTATGTGAATATATACAATATATAAACATTTAAAATATGATTTATTCCTGTGACAGAGTAAATTTTCTGAACTGAATTTCCAGCATCTTGACATCAGCGCTCAAATGATGATTTGGTGGCTTATTTATTTAACCATTGCTGAATACATCTGTGTTGCTCAATATTTTTGTGGAAACATGACACAATTATTCAGAATTATTTCATGAACAGAATGTTCAAAAGAACAGAATTATTAGTGTCTTATTTACTAATTTAATGTAATCTTGTTGAATGAATCTATTATTTTATCCAAACTTTCAAATAATGGTGCGTAAATTATTAACTTATTTATATTTGAACAGTCAGTAATACCTTTTCTGTGTAAATGATGCCTTTAAATGAAAGACACTTCTGTCTAACCTGTAGTTGAGCTCCAGGTAGTCTGTGGGGCAGTTGATGATGTTCTGTTCAGGATTGTGTATGGAGAACTTGTCAAACTTCACCTTGATATGCTTTCCTGGTGGAACCTGTGAGACAGAGCATCAAATAACTGACACATAATTGACTAATGTAAGAAATTGAGCAAAGTAGAGTGAATCTTTTTCACCTCAATGTTCCAGACACACTCAATCTGAGGTGGGTAATGAGAGGGATATCCAGGTGATGTGAAGGCACCACGGAGACCTGTTAGACGACCTCCACAGTCTAAAGAATATGAAAAAAACATGTCACACAAATACTGAGCAGAAATTAGAATTGACTCTCTATTTACTCACCCTCAAGTGGTTCCTAACCTTAATAAGTTAGCTAAAAATAGCTGAAAGCCTGTAACCATTGATATCCATAGTAAGAAAAAGAAATACTTTGGTCAATGGTCACAGGTCTCCATCTTTCTGAAATAAAAACATCCTCTCTTGTGTTCAACAGACGAAAGAGACTGATTAAGATTTAGAACAAGTAAACGGTGAGTAAAAAAATGATGACAGAATTTTCATTTTTGATTGAACAATCCCTTTAATTTAACACATATCTCACATTAATACTTTTTAAATCATTAGATTTGTAGGTTCATTCTTCACAAACCTCATTCATGAAGATTTTCAATACAAAACACAGTTTAAATCCATGGTGAACTTTTAGTCGGAGTAAAACATTTTAATCTCACATTTACCACAGATTAATTAGTTTTTTCTTTTCTTTTCTGCAGAACCTGGTGATTCTGATTACGTTCATATGTTTGGGATTTATTTTTCTATTTTATTCAGAAAGTTTGCAAATAATTGATATTCTAAAATATACATTTAGTATTTAAAATGTTTCAAATTCCTATTCATTTGAGCTTTTTGTCTATTAAAGAATAGTTATAACCGTTTTCACAAATATATCAAGAAATATAACAGCAAATCAGTATATTAGAATGATTTGTAAAGGATTACATGACACTGAAAACTGCAGTAATGTTAAAAAATGATCTTTGAATCACAGGAATAAATGACATATATTGATATATGACATAAATGATATATATTCAGCTCATCTTTATTTCTATAGCGCTTTTACAATGTAGATTGTAACAAAGCAGCTTAACATAGAATGTCTAGTAAACTGAAACTGTCAGTCCAGTTTTTAGAGTTGAAGTTCAGTTCAGTGTGGTTTAATTTTCACCGCTGAAAGTCCAAACGGTCAAGAGCAAATCCATTGATGTGCAGCTCCACAAGTTCCAAACCAAGCAAGCCAGTGACAAGCGGCAAGGAATAAAACTTCACCAATATATAATTTTTTTGGATTGGCATTCGATTATTTCTGTATTTTTGTCACTATATATATGCAGTTTAGACTTTAGGGACTTCTTTCAACACATACAATCTTGTTTTTCAACATTTTTCATAAGGGAGTATTTGGAAGGAGATGTGCAGTGCAATTTCAGGACAGGTAACTGGTCAAAAAGTGAACTTTTAGACACTAAATGACAATTGATGGTAACTCAGTATACTCTACCTTGAATTTTGGCTGGAATCTGTGAGTAAATTGCCCTGAAACCTGGGTAGTTTTTTTCTTCATTAGTCACCATTGTAACCAGCATGACATTGCCAGAAGAGATGAATATTAGCTTCTCGTTGGGTAAGCGGTATCCACATTTCCTACATAAACACATTTATCAGATTCCACATATTCCAAATACAATGAAAACAGACATGTGTGACATGACATTGCTCACACGTGTGATGCTGCATTGCATCCCAGAGAAGATGACAGAGAGATTATGAACACTCACTCAGTTATGACTAGCTTCTCTGATGGTGCTAATGAGTCGTACACTTTGATGAAGTCATTATGACAATCCTTCTCCAGGTCCAGGACGTCAAACTCCAGTCTGACCCTGTGCTCTGGGTCAGCCCGTATCTGCCATTCAGTGTAAAGGTTGGGAGAATAAGAGTTATCGGGGAAACCAGGAGACCGGATTATGTCTGTCTGGTTTGCATGAGCATGATTCGACCTCTTACTGGACCCTAAAAAGTCAAGAAAATCTCAATATGAGTCTGAGAAACAGATGCAAATAATTAAGTAAATAATGCTTGTTATGCTCACGTTTGAGGTTTCGGTCAGCTAATCGAGCATCCACAGCTGTAATACAGAAAATATTAATCAACACTTTTTATACTTTATTTCTTTTTTAAGGAAGAAAAAGGAAAAGAAATAAGTAGAAATATATATATTTTTAAATTACAATAACACATTGTACCTTAAATGAACAGTTGACTGATCACATCCTGTATTTCCTTACAGGTCACATTTACAAATACATATAAAAATCAGTTTAAACTGTGTAAAGGCATAATTACAATCAATTTCGCCCAATATCGCATGTATTTGTCCATTTGTAGTTTTAAAGAAAAAGCCATCATCTCCATATTTCAAACATTATATACAATATCCAACCATTTAGATTTTGTAGGGGGTTTGAGAGTTGTGGCCACTTTCGAGTTACAGTTTTTTTTACTGGTTGTTAGAAATATTTTAAGTAAATACTAGTCTATTACCATTAAGTTCACTGCAAAATTTCCCAGTTAAATTGCTGTAAAAAAAAAGTCCAATCCGTCACCAAAATATTTTATATAACTTGCATTAAATCCTGCCAACATGACTGAATGGCTGAGCAATTCCAAAATATGTAAAAATGGTTTGCTAAGTCTTCCCCACATTTCCTCCATCACTGCCCCCTATCCTTCTCTGAAGTTTGCATGTATATTAACTACTTATAAAGTGTCCAGTAAGATTCCTCCAGCAAAAATCTTTCCACACACAGTACCAGAGCTGGAAGAAGTTGGGCTGTACAGAGCACATACTCAACCAATCTTCCTCTGAGATAACTAGGTTGGATTCTACCTTTCATTTTAGTGTGATGCCATTTGTTAGGTGTTCCTTGGTGGATTGGATGGAAAAATACAAATTTGAAACAAGTCTCTTATTGTCTTTGCTCTTATAGATGTTGATAATTAAATCAATTAAGTTTATACAAGTCAACACTGATTAAAACGATTCCCCTATTCCTTTGTTCATTGTTTGTTTCTTGTCCCTAAGAAGTTCCTGGCTGGATTAAAAGAAGTGACAGGCCTAAACAAGTAACATGAAACTGTTTGGTAGTAGATTTACCTCCTGAAGTAATGCCATCAATGATGAGGCTGTCAGTCATGCGACTGAACCCTCTTCGGCTTTTCCTGGTATTTTCTGTGTCATCCATGGATGCAATAGCCTCTTCCAAAGCAGATACTTTGGATTCCCGCACATTAAACTCAGACAAGTAATATGCAATAATACCATTATTATTGCCTTCACTACAAAAGAAGAAGAAAAACAGAAACTCGGTAAACAAAAATTCAATTCATCGAATTAAATGAGTCATTATAATTTGTGATGTTGTAAAACACTGAAGGTTTTGTTTCCAGAATGTTTAGTTATCCTCATGTACTGGTAATCGAATCTTAAGACATTCCTATGAAAATATAAGCTTTATACTATTTACTTTCATCAGTTAGTCCTGACATAAGTGACAGCGGGCTGCTGGAATATTATATTAAAATTACTAACAGCAGGTTGGGCGCGCTTTTACTTTACAATAAAAGACTACAAATACCACACCTCAACTAATTGTATTTCAATTTTCAAGACAATTGTAAGGTTTTTATGCAAGAGTAATTTGACAAATCACATCCCAAACCTCTTGATAATAGATTTTTTGAGCAATTAATGGAGGTTTGTGCCATACTTAGCAGACTAATTCAGCCATTATTGCAATTATTAAAGAGAAAGGAGAGAGGAGAGAGGGAGAGAGAGAGAGAGAGAGAGAGAGAGAGAGAGAGAGAGAGAGAGAGTTAATTACAGGAGTCTGTGTGTCTCTCAACAACGTTCTACAAATAGCAAAACTATAAGTTTCACTGGAGAACAGGACTGTTTACATTTTGCTAGTATAAAATGTTATATATAACATGTTTCTGTGAGAGTGTGTCTGTACAGTTTGTGTGTGCATTTGTAAAGGAGAGAGAAAAGATTATGTGAACTTTACTTTTAATTATTATTATCATTTTATTTTAATAAATTAAAGCCAAAAATTGCTCATTTTTAATTGCCAATATATTTAATAGTAACAATAATATATCATTACTTTTATATATTGCTTTTCTGGACACTCAAAGCACTTTGCACAATTTTTTTTTTTTTGTGGTGCGAATCTCCTCATCCACCCCTAGCGTGCAGTATCCGCTTGTATGATGCAACGACAGCCATATTGCACCAGATAGCACTCCACACACAAGCTGATTGGTGGAGAGGAGACAGAGTGATGAAGCCAATTATAATATGGGGATGGTAAGGAGGCCATGATGGACAAAGGCCAGAGGGCAAATTTGGCCAGGATGCTGGGATTAAACCCCTTCTCTTTTTTGAAGGACATCCTGGGATTTTAAATGACCACAAAGAGTCAGGTACCTGTATAGCTAGTATCCCAGTATAGAGTCCCCATCAATATACTGAGGCGTTAGGATTCACACAGACCGCACGTTGAGCACCCCCCTGCTGGTCTCACTAACACCACTTCCAGCAGCATATGATCCAAGATATGAAACTGTAATTGTAACACTCTGGAACTATACTTTAGCTTTGCCTGAAAATAATTACACATTTATTGTACTGTACATCAACCAATCGAAATCAAGCATTCAACAGCTCAGCAGCATAAATTCTAATATTAAACATTTCATCCACAAATCCTCATTCTACAATCATACTAAAGGTACAAGTAAAAAAAAAATATAATAATAACAAGCTGAAAATCTCTTTTCTAAAGCTTCCACTTTTCACAAGTCAATTAATATGAGGTTAATACTAGGTTAATCACATCTTTGATAACGGTGGTGAAATTAACTGAATTGCTGACCTTTCTGATTGTCCTTCCACATAATCATTTTCTGGCATTAGATGAGGTGAAATTATATAAAATTACCTGAAACCCTGTACACTAGATGCCACATGGTACCTGGACAGCACGTGCACTTGGCCATATATACTTTTGAGCTGAAACAAAAGTAGAATGTCACAAGTTTTAAAATAAACACACAAAGAAAATAGCAGATAAGAAAGCATCTGATAATGATAATAGTGTTATGGACACTTGCACCAATTTTGTAATTTAGTTCCAGTCAAGTCACAGGTCATGTTTAGCATTATATACAGAGACTGCTTTATGAAAACAGTAAAAGAATGTGTATAGTTTATTTTCAATTCTAAATGTATTCTCTTCTTCATATTATTATTATTAATATTATCATTAAAATTGCACTACTATAAAATACTCAAATCAAAGAAAGCAGAAGTTCTGAACTACAAAAATTTGTAGTTGATTTTGTTCTAAACAACATCACACCAGCTCATTCTTTGTTATGGGGTGTCTATGTGCTCAATGTTCACTTATTGGAAAAAAAAAAAAAAAACTAATGAGGTTGACATGCAAAGCATCCTAAATAAAATCTGTCCACCTCACCTGCTTTGAGACTTTTAAAGCCAGCTCCTTATATTCGGTGCTGTTGTTGTTTTCATAAGCATCAGAGAACGTCTGACTGGAGATGGTCAGATGACCACTGAACATCTTCCGCACCTTTCCATTATATCTGACTGTAACAAAGCACATGCTGGAGTTACTGCTTTATCCAAATCACTCACATGTGAATCACTGATGATAACAATCACTCACAATGGAAATGCCACACTAGCAGTCCTGTTATTAATGCAATGATTGCCAGTGCCGTGGGGAGACCTATAGCAACGATTCCACGGATTGTAACCTTCCTCTTCTGCACCTTCTTTGTATCTGATGCAGGAACATACTGAACGATCTCCGTTACATTATCCTGCAGCAGAAAACACACACGTGCTTCTTGAGATTTTGGCACTGTTACATTAGAGAATGAGTTACTGTCTGCAAAATATAATGTGAAAGCAATGAACTGTGCATGACTAACATGCAATTTTGAAACACCCACATAAAAACAGGCTATTCCTCTTAAGATGTCCAAACTCATTGGTATGAGTACATAAAATATTGCGGTTGCAACTGTTTTCTAATCCTCAACCAACACCTAGCTCATCAGCGTCAACAACACTCCCTCGTCAAGTATGTACCTACAAGAGTATGTAGAGTCACGTGACTCGAGCTGCTGCTTATTTTTAGTAAAGTGAAAGCAGATTGTGGTTGACAATCTAACATTACATCTTACTATATATAACATGATGATTTTTTTAAAAACATACAGCAAAACAATCTTTCAAAAGTAGTTTTAAACACAATAACAACAATAATCGTACCATAAACATAAGTTGAGCAGTATAAAACAGCAAAACAAATCTAATCAAATCAAATACAAGACAATTTATATGAAATATGTAAAATATATATGACAAATCAGTTTAACATATTAGGCATGCATTTGAGTAATTTCTTAACCCTTCTGAAGTTAAAACATTAGTATTAATTTGTCAAAAAAATAAAAACATGTCTGAAAACAGCATCGATTTTGTTATTTTGACCAATTTTGACATTTTAATCTTAAATAGTATGTCATTAGTAGTTTACAAGCTAAAACATAACACAACTATATTGATTATGTATATATTCTAACAACATTTCCGAAAAATAAGTCATGAAATTGCGTAAATTATCAACACAAACAGCTCTACAGTATCGCCTTTAGGACGTCCCAAGACGCACTTACATGTAGCTACTGTATATAACTGAAAATAGCTCCAAAAACGACGGACTAAAATTAAAAAAACAAAGAGTAGTGTAAAACATACCGGAAATTTATTCACAGCTTTGAGTGGCTCCATGTCACTCGTCATTTTTGTGAAATTGGCCGCTGGTCCCCCGTGTTGCCGTACGTGTGTCATGCTGGCGGCCTTTGTCCTCACATGTATAGTAGAGCGAAACCCGCGGACTAGCGCGCAGGTGTCTGTTAGAGAAGTTTTCGTAAACTAGCCCTTCATTCCGTTTTACATGATCTTTTAGTACTGAAAGTGTATACACCTCTTAACGTTACCATCAATGTGGGTTTTGCAAAGAAAACAAACATAATTAATGAAAAACGTAAGGTCTTACTTCCCACCCAGTTTCGAGCTGCAGGTGAATCACAAGCATCCCGAGGAGCACTTCCTGAAGAACACAGGTGTGTGACGTGGGACGGGATAAACAGCGCTCAGCATATATAAGTACACCTCTCACAAATCTATGTTTATATTTATAATTTTAACAGGACGTTATACTAAATTATATTTGTGCTTACATTGGATTAGTCAGGACTGAAACCAAATTTGGAGCTTATTTAATAAAACTAATAAAGGTAAAAAATAGTAGGCTACACCCAAATGTATATGTTATTGAAAAATATTAAATACAATTTTAAAATAAGAGGAAAAATCAAGAGAAACAAAATAAAATTGTTAATTTTTTTTAATTTTGTAGGTTGTAATTTTGTTTGTAATATTTTGCTTCAATTTTATTAACTTTGTATTATTTCATTATAATTGTATTATCTTTTAATTTCTAAATGTGTTTGATGACTAAAATATTGTTATAACAAATATTTCTTTTTAATAAATCTGCTTTGTTTAAATGCAAAATTCATTGCCTGTATTCAATGTGATTTTAATAAAAATATTTTCAACGGGGTGTACATAATTATACTGAGCACTGCAGGCCTATATGTTAAAAAATCTGTAAAAGAGATAAATGAGGTATACTGTATAGTTTTCTATCAAGCCAGATACACATAATTGTAACATGTAATATAGTTTAAACAAAATTCTTATGTAATAAATGTTAGTGAATGTGTTTAATTTAAGAAAAAAATATATAATATGCCAGCATTAATTTTAGGGTTTCACTATTAGCATGAAGGTTTTGTTTAGATTTGCATATTGTCTTCAATAAATCACAAATAATTAAACATTTTTAAACAATTGATTAATGAGGTAACAATGTAAAATTATCTAATTACTATATATATATATATATATATATATATATATATATATATATATATATATATATATATATATATATATATATATATATATATATATATATAAACTCAAATATTTAAAATAATTAAATTGATTGGGTTGCATAAACTTAATTTTCTGAAACAGTTCTACTAACTCAAATAGTTTGAGTTTGTGTGACTTTTTATAGTTTTTGAGTGAATTGAGCTTATTATGTTTGATTAACTGAAACAACTTGCTCATTAAGTGCCACTTAGGAGAATAATTTAACTTTACTTACTTTTTGTTGTTTCAACATGCTGTCTGCGTATAACATCTGTAACCTTTCAAATTGCAATTTGCATACACAAACATTCTAACCAGAACAGCTGCTTTAATGTAAGCATTAAATAAAATATTCTATTATATTACATATCTAATATATATACAGTATTAAATGTAAAAAAAAAAAAAGTCCATGGTTTTAACAGTAGAAGTCTGTAAAATTTACAGTGACGAAAACAGTCAAATGACTAACAGCTCAAAATGGACAAAATACAGAAAATAACTGTAACAGATCTAACCTTTGTTTTCGAGAAAGTAATCAGTGTCTGAAATCTCACAATAAACCCTCTTTATAGTCTCTAAATTTGTTGATTAGTTTAGTCCACTAAACAGAGTGAATGACCAAATGAGTGTATTCTGACACTGCTGAACACCTGCTGGTGACCAGCACAATCACTGAAGGAAAGAACAAGAAATAAAACTATACAGCAACAGTAACTGAATTAAAATAGAGAAATGAACAACTCCATTATTAATATCATTACCAGATTCACTGATTAAAGTTTGACTTTATTTCTGTCATATCTGCAAAAATGATTTGATAATTAACAGAGGTTTATGTTTTTTATTGAAAACATTTCATTTGACCTCACCATCATGGAGATCAGAGGCGGCTTCAGCTGGGCTCATGATCATTAATGCTTCGGCCCCAATGTTTCTCTGGCTGTTATAACTGTGTTTTTTAAGCTCATCGGTTATGACTGCTAAACCCATAAGAAATTGTGTGTGTTAATTATCACAGATATAATTTAGGTATTTTATAGTGTAAGTCATAAGAAAAATGTAAAATAATTTATTGTTAATTTGTTTGGGACAATGCTACAGCATTTCATGGAGAGTCAACAATTATGTAAAAATTCATTCATTCATTCATTCATTCATTCATTCATTCATTCATTCATTTTCTTGTCAGCTTAGTCCCTTTATTAATCCGGGGTCGCCACAGCGGAATGAACTGCCAACTTATCCAGCTAGTTTTTACGCAGCGGATGCCATTCCAGCCACAACCCATCTCTGGGAAATTATGTAAAAATAAATAATAAAATTTTAATGCACAAAATAATGTGACTCCAGCAGCACATTTAAAACACAGACATCAAGAGTCAGGGTGTGAACCTCAATCATAGTTGTTAAAAAAAATGCAGTTTATTCATGCTGCAATGCATGCTGGGTGCCAGCATAGTATAAAATTCCCAGCATGCATTGCAGCATGAATAAGTTATACAGCTTTATGCTCTTACAATTTCTTTCTTTGCCTTTAGTTTATGTTGTTGAGATTTAAATAATAATTGTTGATGTCTGTTTGTTACACTCCATCCTTGCATATTCATACTAAACTCTCCATACAAATACACATGCTCCATTCATATACTCATGATACACCATATACATGATATACATCACACAACATACTCCTGTCATGGTTTGGGATAGAACCCAGGTCTCTGGTGTGAGAGGTGAGTCACATTACCACTGAGCCACAGAGCCACACATGAACCTCATTTCATTCATATACACTTCATCCATACATGTACACATGATACACTACATACATATACACACGATAGATTCCATTCATCGACACATGATACACCCCATACATATACACACGATAGATTCCATTCATAGACACATGAATCACTCCATCCATACACACGATACATTCCATCCATACATTTACACATGATACACTCCTTACATATACATATAAACATGATACAATCAACACATATACACTCCATCCATACATGGACATGATACACTCCATCCATAAATATACACATGATACACTCCATACATATATACTTCATCCATACATGTACACACGATAAGCATGATACATTACATACATATACATGTTACACTCCATACATACGATACATTCCATCCATATGCACATGATACATTCCATCCATACATATACACATAATACACTCCTTACATATACATATATATATGATACAGTCAATACATACACACGTTACACTCCATACATATACACATGATACATTCAATACATATACACTTCATCCATATACACATAATACTTTCCATTCATATACACATGATATGTTTCATACACAGACAGATAGATTCCATTCATACACACGATACATTGCATCCATACATAGACACATGATATACTCCTTCTATTCACAATACATTCCTTACATATACATATATACTTCATCCAAACATGTACACATGATACATTACATATATGTTACACTCCATACATACATATACACATCTTACATACACATGATACAATCAATACATATACACGATATACTCCATCCATACACAGACACATGATACATTCCATCCATACATATTTACATTATAGATTCCATTCATGCACATATGATACATTCCATACATATACACACACAGACGATACATTCCTGTCAGGGTCTGGGATAACTCGGGTCTCTGGCGTGACAGGTGAGTCACATTACCACTCAGCCACAGAGCCACACATGATATACACCATCGATACACAGACACATGATACACTCATAGGGACTAGGGACACCGGCCCTCGCGGCCAAAAAACAGACCGGCCCACCGGGAATCCAGGCCTGCATTTCATATACTGTATTTACACATGATATACTACATCCATACACAGACACATGATACAAACCATGCATACATATACACATGATAGATTCCATTCATACAAACGATACATTCCATCCATAGACACATGATATACTCCATCCATACATATGATACATTCCTTACATATACCCTTCATCCATACATGTACACCTATACATATAATCTATCCATATACACATGATACATTCCATACATAGACACATGATATATTTCATCCATACGATACATTCTTTACATATACACATGTAACAAACAATACATATACACTTCATCCATACATACATGTACACCTGATACACTCCATACATATACGCATATACTCTATACACATGATACATTTCTGTCCAGGTCTGGGATAGAACCCGGGTCTCTGGTGTTACAGGCAAGTTACATTACCACTCAGCCACACATGAACCTGATGCAGTCCATACATATACTTCATCCATACATGTACACAGAATACATTCATAGATACATGATACATTCCATCCATACATATAATACACTCCATACATATACACACGATAGATTCCATTCATAGACACATGATTCACTCCATCCATAGACACATGATATACTCCATCCATACACAGACACATGATAGATTCCATTCATACACACGATACATTGCATCCATACATAGACGCATGATATACTCCGTCCATACACAGAAACATGATACAAACCATCCATACACAGACACATGATAGATTCCATTCATACAAACGATATATTCCATCCATACATATACACATGATAGATTCCATTCCAACCATACATATACACACGATACATTCCTTACATATACATATATAAATGATACACTCCATACATAAACACTTCATCCATACATGTACACGATACACTCCATCCAAATAAACATAATCCATACATGTACACACGATACAGTCCATACATATGCACATGATACATTTCATCCATACACAGAGACATGCTGGAACTAGAGACACCGGCCCTCGCGGCCAAAAAACAGACCGGCCCACCGGGCCTGCATTTCATATATTTACACATGATATACTCTATCCATACACAGACACATGATACAAACCATGCATACATATACACATGATAGATTCCATTTATACAAACAATACATTCCATCCATAGACACATGATATACTCCATCCATACATATGATACATTCCTTACATATACCCTTCATCCATACATGTACACCTATACATATAATCTATCCATATACACATGATACA